TTGCATTTTAACACATTTTTATTATATAAACAGAAGCCTTACAGCTTTTTAAACATTAACATTTGTGTAAGTTTCGAGACACTTAGAAATGCCTTAATGTTTTAGTGAGTTTGTAATCTTTATAATTTCATTTTACACATAATCCATGTTCTTTCCAGGTTCTCTTTTGGAGAAGGAGAGGATTTTTCAATGCATAGGATACAGTCTTTTTTCCTGGCACCTTCCGCAAAAACAGCCAAGAGTTGCTTAACTGCCAGCTTCTCCTGCTCATTCCATGGGGTCTTCCCTTTAATTTGCAAATGACCTACAAAAAAGAAGATACATCTTTAGTTGATGCTGCCTTTATTTTGTTGCACTCAATTTCTTTATGATTTTACTGTATGTCATGTTAAGATTAACATGACATACAGCTAAAAGCAATTTCTCAAAATTACGAGTATACATATTTTTTAATCTGAATTTTAACACAATTCAACATTTTTCTTCACTATTGTGAGAATATGAAACCCTCATAAAGGCATTAAATGCTTTAATGTTTCAGGCCTTAAGTGTCTCAGAAAATATAAAATATGCAAGATAAAAGATAAATGACCCACACTTGTATAGTGCCTTTCATAGAGAATTCCAAAGTGCTTTAAACTACAGTGTATACTTCATCCATTCACGCACACATTCACACACTAGTAGTGATGAGCTACGATGTAGCCACAGCTGCCCTGGGGCACACAGAGACGCAAGGCTGCTAAGCACAGGCGCCACCAGTCCCTCCGATCACCACCAGCAGGCAAAGTGGGTTAAGAGTCTTGCCCAAGGACACAACAGCAGTATTGATTGGTCAGAGCCAGGATAGCACCTGCAACCTTCAGATTACTGGACAACCCACTCAACTTCCTGAGCTACTGCTGCCCCTATAAGAGAGAAACATTCAAATTAAAAAAGTCTTTATTTCTATGCATCAATACTTGTCTTGGCCTCATTTTGCTTGAATTCATGCAGCAATGCAGCTTTAAAGAATTCCCAATCCAGAAACAATGATTGGACAACATTGTGGTCCCTGTTCAAAGCTGAAGATTCTGCGTACAGGTCAGGTAACTGGCTGGTTTTTAATTTGACATCTCAATAAGGGATATTGAAAAGAGGTTGTTTAAGGCACATACCGTAAATCCTCTAATACAGGCCTGGACCTGTATTTGACTCAAGCTCATCAAGCTCCAGGCCTTTATTGGAAGGAAGGCCAGAATTAGAGGCAGGCCTCTATTTCTGTTTGAGCAAAATGAACTACTGGTTCGCTGGACTTTTTGACAATTAAAATTAGATTGCGCAGCGGCCGCAAACTCACTGATGCGCCTGCAGCCTCTCGGAGTTCCTGCTGCTCTAAACATTAAAATAATTATTTCATTTTCTGTTCCTCACTTCTGATTACCTTCAATGGTGTCTGTTGCAACCACCAGGTACAAAAACTAACTTGTTTTTATTTGACTATTTTTCTGTCCTGCCTGTTTATTATCTTCCTGCATCTCCTCTCAATCCTAAAGAGAAACTGCTACCTGGGTTCATATATATTCACCTTATGAGTTACATTTGAACTGCAGTTCTAAAAGATCTACCAACCGCAAAAACAGTGGAGTGCTCGCTGCTTGCCGGCCGCATCAGTGATTGGTGCGTCACCGGATGACAAGGTGATGCGCCCCGCTCCACAACGAAACGCATCAGGCGCAAATAAAAGACAGAAAACATTAAAGGAAATGAACCGACATGAACGATCGCGTGTTAAATTTGTTTTTGAGGTGGCGACACCTGATTTGATAATGTCACTGTGGCCGTGCTCAGGACGCAGATCTACCGACCGCAAAAACAGCGGAGTGCTCGCTGCTTGCCGGCTGCATCAGTGATCGGTGCGTCGCCGGATAACAAGGTGATGTGCCCCGCTCCACAGCGAAACGCGTCAGGCGCAAATAAAAGACAGAAAACATTAAAGGAAATGAACAGACATGAACGATCGCGTGTTAAATTAGTTTTTGAGGTGGCGACACCTGATTTGATAATGTTACGGTGGCCGTGCTCAGGACGCAGATCTACCGACCGCAAAAACAGCGGAGTGCTCCCTGCTTGGCGGCCGCATCAGTGATTGGTGCATCACCGGAGGACAAGGTGATGTGCCCCGCTCCACAGCAGCGAAACACATCAGGTGCAAATAAAAGACAGAAAACATTAAAGGAAATGAACCGACATGAATGATCGCGTGTCAGTACCGACGCTCTGGCACAGCGCGTTGCCCCCCCCCGAGCGCAGGAGCTTGTCACCTGCTGATAGCAGGCTGCTGTCTTTTCCGAGGGCTGCATCTTGCCAGTCATTATCACGTGACAGCAACTAGTCGATGACAGGCATAAAAAGTCACTATAGTGATGTCGACTAGTTCATACAACACCTATTGCTCCCCAGTGTTCTGCAGCGCACGTTCTCTTTGATCTTGATATCAAATTTTCGCCTCCTCTTCGTCTCCGCACGGTTAAAGTTACCCTCGTGGTCTATCACTGGCAAATCAAAAGTGAGACGATGACACAACCGCCCCCCGTACTTGCTTGTTACCACATTCCACCCAGCCACAATAAGAGACCGGCCATTATTCACCTCCGCCGACTCCGACACCGGCCAAAATATGAGACCCGGCCGTTAATTGAATACAGGCCTGTATTAGAGGATTTACGGTAATTACCTAAACCAAACAATAACAGAAAATGTTTTGATAATTTTATTTCATGTTTGTAGTGTTTACAGAGGCAATTGAGACCTCAAATCCAATTTAAATAGCCAATTTTGACTTATGAAAGGCCTCAAGTTGACTTTTGTTTTAAACTACCACCATACAAACCAATTTATTTGTACGAACCGCATTGAGCAGGATCAGCAGCAGCCACTCCATGCTTGGTTTTCATTTTCTTTCTTTGGACCGGGCTTGTGGAAGAAATCCCAAAAGGCTTTGCTCCATCTGAAAAGCACAAAACCATGATATAGAAATTGTTCAGAAAGAAGCCAGAGCACATTATCTGCATTCCCAAAGACTGGACTTACACTCATCTCCGTCACTGTCCTCATTGAGAGTTGTAATAGAGTTTTGTCCTTTGCCATGTTTCTCTTCCACAGACAAGTTCAGCAATCCCCTGTCTAATTAAAAAGTTTAAATCAATACATGTGAATCAGCATAGTTAATATCAGTCTTGGCCAAATTTCCAAAGTCTGCCATAACATACCACCATCATTGTCTGCATGTCTTTTTTGGGCTTTCCTTCTTTTGACAAGTTTATTTGATAAACTTGTGGGTTGCAACTCTCCATCTAAGGAACAATAAAATTTATTTAAGTATTTGAATTTTCAGCTAAAAAGCCAAACACTGGTGCAGGTTTACATGCATACAGTTTCAAGAAAATTGGAATTATGTGAATTCCAGCACAAATTAATCATAAAATATGATCTGAACTTAATCTAAGGCACAATAATAGACAGTCACAATCACAGTATGCTTAAACTAAAACCACACAAGTAATTGTTTCCATGTTTTTATTGAACACAACATGTAAATATTCACTGTGCAGGTGGAATAAGTATGTGAACCCCTAGACTAATGACATCCAATAGCTAAATGGAGTCAGGTGTCACCCAGCTGGAGTCCCATCAATGAGATGACATTGGAGGTGTTGTTTAAAGCTGACCTGCCCTATAAAAAACTCACCAGTTATGAGTTTGCTTTTCTCAAGAAGCATTGCATGATGTGAACAATGCGTCATGCAAAATAGCCCAGAAGACCTAAAATTAAGAGTTGTTAACTTGCATAAAACTGGTAAGGGTCATAAAATTATGTACAAAACAATGATGTTTATAAATTGAGAAGTTCAGTGCTGCTGCTATTGTCCCTAGGAGTGGCCGTCCTGTCAATGTGGCACAGAATAATCCTCTAGTGTAAAGACTAACAAAGATCTGTGGCATTTGCCAACATTCCTGTTGGCAAATGTACGATACATAAACACTCAAAAGTTCATGGGAAGCCACTGCTGTCCCAAAAAAATTTAGCTGCATGTTTAAAGTTTGCAAAAAAGCACCTGGATGTTCCACAGCCGCACTGGAAAAAATTCTGTGGAAATATTGAGTTGTTGAGTGGTGAAAGAACCACACAACAGTATGTGTGGATAAAAAGAGACATGGCACACCAACATGAAAACCTCATTCCAACTGTGAAGTATGGTGGAAGGGGCATCATGGCTTGGGGATGCTTTGCGGCATCAGGGCCTGGACAGATTTCTATCATCGAAGGCAAAGTTAATTTCTAAGTTTATCAAGACATTTTAAAGTTAACTTTTTGCAGAAGATCTTAGAGCCATCGGTCCACCAGCTGAAGGTCAACAGACGATGAGTAACACAACAGGACAATGGCCCAAAGCATAGAAGTAAATCAACAAAATGGCTTAAACAGAAGAAAATACACCTTCTGGAGTGGCCCAGTCAAAGTCCTAACCTCAACCCGAATGAGATGCAGTGGCATGACTTCCGGAAAACATTCACACCAGACATCCCAAGAATATTGCTGAACTGAAACAGTTCTGTAAAGAGGAATGGTCAAGAATCACTGATCGTTATGCAGGTCTGATCTGCAACTACAGAAAATGTTTGGTTAAAATTGTTGCTGCCCAAGGAGGTTAGGGTTTAGGAAGTTATGAGTTATTAAAACCAAGAGTTCATATACTTTTTCCACCTGCACTGTGAATGTTTACATGATGTGTTTAATAAAAACATGAAAACACAATTGTATGTGTGATATAATAGGGTATTTCCATTGCCGGGTCTGGAACGGTCGGGTCTCGTTATTTTTGGAGTGGTGTGTTCTGGTATGGGTCTGCTCTCACGGTCCAGCCTAGCTTTAATTTCTTCATCTTGGCACAATACTGTGCCGAAGTCCACTCTGATCCTTTGGCTTCCATCCGCTGATAACAAAAAAAACAACAACCTTTCTTACCTTTCAATCTAGCCCTTCCTGTGGACTGTCACGATGTCAGTGAGAAATGTATGGAACTCTGTAGGTGACCGTATAGAACTATGAATGTGACCAAAACTTGCCACTTGCTGGATTTTTTTTCACATTCATGTACAGCTAACAAAAATACAAACAACAGAACTCCGTTTGTGTTGCTTGCTGCAAGTTGTGAGTAATTTCTGTCAACCAATCAGTGGCCTGTGTTGTTGCTCTGTCCTAACCATACCGCTCCAGAAATTTCTGGACCTACAACAGAAGGAAGCCCAAAAAGTCCCGTGACTGGCGTGGTACAAGTAAGTTGTCTAGACAGAACAATCGGAACAGCAAATTTAGCAACCCGATCCTTCCCATTCCATGCTAAAACGGTCAATGGAAATGAGCCATTCATTGAAGCAGACTGTGATTGTCTATTGTTGTGACTTAGATGAAGCTCAGATCACATTTTATGACCAATTTGTTCCAAAAATATAATTCCAAATAGTTCACTTACTTTTTCTTGAAACTGTAAGTCATGTTAATATTGGTGTGTTTGCATGAAGACAACTGCATTTTGGTTGCCTTAAAATGTTTCCTACTTACTCGAGGAGCAGAACTGAAACATTGAATGACAAGTGAAACCTCTTCAGAAAACCAAAGAAGTCAGTTGGTCTTCATTCAAAGTAACTAAGAAGCTCAATAATCAACTATACTGGCATTTACCATGAATATCACAGTCGTCTTCCAAATCGCCATCAGAATCTTGGATAGCTGCAGTCAACGTTTGGTTTTCAGTTTCACTTGTTTATGCTAGTGCCTGTATTTACCTGTAGCAGAACTGCTCTTAATCTCTCTGTCCCATCTTGTGTTTCTCATCTTTGACAGTTTTTAATTGATTCCTTTGTACTAGAAAGGGTAGGCTGTTCTCCATATGATTTTATAACATAATTATATTTATATAAATATATATATACATATACATACAGCACTAATATCACAATGTAAATTGGACTTGAGAAGGTAGTGACAAAGTAAGGCAAAGTAGTCCACGCAGAAGGGGTCTCACACTTAAAAGGAACAGCAGCAGATATTGAGAATGCATACAAGCACAATGGTATCCCACAAGCAAATGCCAACCTCAATGAGGCTGCAAGGAAAGGAGCCACATCCAAATACCTACGAGTAAGACAAATCCCAAGAAGTCAGCTGCATGGCGAGAACAATATTCTGGCAATCAACTGCTACATCCTGCCAGTAATCAAATATACTGCATGAATAATAAGCTGGCCGAAGGAAGGAATTCAGATCAGATGTTAAGGCATGAAAGTTCCTAACCATGCATGGAGGGTTCCATCCCAAGTCCAGCACCCTGACACTGGACACTAGCCTTAAGGAAGGAGACCAAGAACTAGAAAGTGTGAGAGCCACTGTCCAGGATGAGAAAGATTCATAAGTACATCAAGGATAAGGCCCCAACAGATGATTTGTCAGTCAATGTGTCAGACAATGACGAACAGAGTAGGAGGCGCTTGAAATTACTGTCTTGTGAGGAAAACCCCTACATTGACAGATAACTGAAGTGGTTGATGAAGAAATCATACTAATGGCTAGAAAGAGCTGGTCTGAATTATAGTACGAAGGCACTTATCATGGCTGCGCAGCAGCAGGCCCTGAACACCAGAGCAACATATGCCAAGACACCAGACAAGACTCAAGGTGTAGGCTATGCAAAGAGGCCCATGAGACAATCCACCAAATAACTGCAGGGTTTAGGATGCTGGCAGGGAAAGCATACATGGAACAACACAACCAATTGTACAGGAACATCTGTGCAGAGTATGGACAGGAAGGCCCAGTACCAGAACTTCAAACCCTTTGCCTTCAGAACTGCCTTAATCCTTCATGGCATATAATCAACAAGGTACTGGAGTTTTTCCTGAGATTTGGTCCATACTAACATGATAGCATCACACAATTGCTGCAGATTTGTCACCTGCACATCCATGATGCAAATCTCCCATTTCTCCACATCCCCAAGGGTGCTTTGGATTGAGATCTGGTGACTGTGGAGGCCATTTGAGTACACTGAACTCATTGTCATGTTGAACAAACCAGTTTAAGATGATTCAAACTTTATGACATGGTGCATGGCCCTGCTAGAAGTAGCCATCAGAAGATGGGTACACTGTGGTCATAAAGGGATGGACCTGTTCAGCATTAACACTCAGGTAGGCTGTGGCATTGGAACAATGACTATTAAGTACTAAGGGGCCCAAAGTGTTCCAAGAAAATGTGCCCCACACTATTATACCACCACCAATAGCCTGAACCATTGATACAAGGCAGGATGGATCCATGCTTTCATGTTATTGATGCCATATTCTGACTCTACCATCCGAATGTCTCAGCAGAAATCAACACTCATCAGACCAGTCAACATTTTCCCAATCTTCTACTGTCTAATGTTGTTGAGCCTGGGTGAACTGGAGTGACACCCAGTGTGGTCTTCTGTTGCTGCAACACATGTGCCTCAAGGTTTGACATGTTGTGCATTGAGAGATGCTCTTCTGCATAACTTGGTTGTAATGAGTGGTTATTTGAGTTACTGTTGCCTTTCTATCAGCTTGAACCAGTCTGGTCTGTCCATTCTCCTCTGACCCTTGGCATCAACAAGGCATTTTTATTCAAAGAACTGCCGCTCACTGGATGTTTTCCCTTTTTCAGACCATTCTCTGTAAACCCTTAATATAGTTGAGTGTGAATTTCCAAGAAAATCATTATTTTATTAAATACAGTATTTTCCGCACCATAAGGCGCTATTAAAAACCTTTGATCTTCCCCTGAACCAGCAGTGCGCCTTTTAATACGTTTGCGCCTTATATACATGTATTTTGGACATAAGTGAAGCCAGCCACACCTGCGTCCGCAGAAAAACAAAGAGCCGGCCAGTAGCACCACCCACCCTCACCAAAAAAAAGGTGTGGCACTGCTCCACACAGGTACACCGGTAACCAGCTATAGCACCAGCGAAGAGACACGCTAATGAGGCAGGGTTCAAGCTCAGAGCCATCATTCACTCCGTTGAGCATGGAAACAGAGCAGCAGCAAGGGAATACAACATTGACGAGTCGATGGTCTGCAAATGGAGAAAGTTGAAAGACCAGCTGCTACAGTTGAAGAAAACAGCGTAGCTTCAGAGGCAACAAGGCAAGATGGCCACTGCTTGAAAACCGAGTTGAGCAGTTGGTCGCAAAGCAGCGAGCAGAAGCGTCTCCACCATCTCCATTCGTCTCACAGCTGCGGCATTAGCAGGAGAGATGGACATTGTGGACTTCATAGGAGAACCTTCCTGGTGTTTTTGCTTCATGCGGAGGCGAGCACTTTCTATCCGCACCAGAACTACCGTCTCGTAGCAGCTACCTGCCGACTACGCTGAGAAGCTAGAGTTGTTCCACGCCCATTGCACTAAGACGATGGCAGACAAAAACATCCAGCCCCAGTACATCATCAACATGGACGAGGTCCCGCTTACCTTTGACATCCCGGTGAACCGGACCGTGGAGAAAATGGGGAACAGCACGGTGTCTGTGCGGACGACCGGCCACAAGAAGTCCTGCTTCACCGTCATGCTCGAATGCCAGGCTCATGGCCAGAAGCTGCCGCCGATGGTCATTTTCAAGCGGAAAACTTTACCCAAAGAAAAGTTTCCCGCCGGCGTGATCATCAAGGCGAACCCGAAGGTTTGGATGGATGAGGACTTGATGGCGGCGTGGCTGCGGGAGGTGTACACCAAAAGACGGGACGGCTTCTTCCACACTTCTCCAGCCATGCTGATCTGCGACTTCATGCGGGCCCATCTCACCGACGCCGTTAAAATCCAGGTGAAGAGGATGAACACGAAGCTCGCCATCATACTGGGTGGATTAACCAAAGAACACAAGCCGCTGGACATTGGGGTGAACCGGTCCTTCAAAGCGAAAGTCCGAGCAGAGTGGGAGCGGTGGATGACTGATGGCGAACACACGTTCACCAAGACGGGCAGGTAGAGCCGATCGACTTTTGCCACCATCTGTGAGTGGATCGCTGATGCCTGGGCCAACGTTTCCGTCCAGACTGTTGTTCGAGCTTTCACCAAGGCCGGGATCACAACGGGAGAGCCAAGCAACGACAGTGACATTGACTCTGACGGCGATGAGCCGAGCGTGCTGGGTTCAGTGCTGGATCAGCTCTTCATGTCAGACATGGAGAATGAGGATTTTGAGGGATTTATGGACGAGGAATGAAAAAAAATATGTGAGTACCATACTTTTTTCCGATCTGAACGGGCAACAGCACTCTGTATGAAACTGGGACTTTGAATATGTTTATATTAAACATAAGCAAACAGTTGTGTTGCCGCTGTCTGAATGCGCATCTTTGCTCCAGCCGTGCCTGCGCGTAAAAATGGGACTTTTGTTTGTTAAACAGCCTTACGTCTGATTGTTCTTTCTTGCTGCTTAAAGCATCCGTGCAAAAAATGACACTGATAATTACGAAATTGTTATTTTTACTGTGAATGAGAGGAATAAACTTTGATTTTGATCTAACTCCTTTGTTTGGCTTATTGTACCAGTTATGCACTACTAGGTGGAGTGTTCAGTCAGTCATGCCATTACCAAATCTTCATTCTTGCTGCTAAAAGCACCCGTGCATTAAATTGGGACTAAATGTTACTTTAATAATGAGAAATTTATTTTTTAGCTTAGATAATGAGTGGAGTAATGTTTGGCTTAGATCTAATTGCCCAAATTGTCTTAAGTGTGTGCTCGTTTGCTTTGCTGGGTGCGCCCTATAATCAGGTAGGCCTTATGTACAGACCAAACCTTTAACTAGGACACTGATTGACTGTGCGCCTTATAATCAGGTGAGCCTTATGGTGTGGAAAATACGGTACTCAGACTAGCCCATCTGGCACAGACAGCAATGCCAGATTAAATGTCAATTAATAACCTTTCTTCCTAATTTTAAATCTCTGTTTAAACTGCTGCGAATCGTCTTGATCATATCAACATGCCTAAATGCATTGAGTTGCCACCATGTGATTGGAAGATTAGAAATTTGCTTTAATGCGTTAAGTGGCCAAGGACTGTACGTCACACTGACATGGCATTCATGGAGTTAGCCATCTTCACTCATGATGGGGAAGGTTGTTGTTTTATTGTTCGGTAATAAACAGCAGACGTCATAGCTAGTAGAAGCTAACCGTTAGCAATAGCAACACCACCACATGGCAGAAGCTCCCTCAGTCATTTGTGGGTATAAAACATCCACGTTGCAAGCCAGTGGTAGAGTTGCTTTGCTGTTATAGAATCCTGGAAGAGATGACAAATAACAGGAAATAAGACTCCAGAACCTGCAGTATGAAGCTCATCTGTAAAGTGGGAACTTTTAGGTCTACAAAATGGTGCACTGCTTTGTTCCCCCACCAAGATTAACTTACAAGGCATTAAATCCTACTAGAGACCACTGTAAATGTATCAAATCATCCACTCCTTTAAATCATGGCAATTGCAAAAGAAACTTACATTTCCAGTAGTCAATTTTTAATTCTTAGTGGCAATAATAACAGTCTTTCCTTAACCAATACTTGGTCTGCCCATAGTTTTAAGGTTTATGTTCTTAGATTTCAAAGATAAGCTATGTGATCAACATTATTACAGTTTGCTTGATATTTATATATTTTCTCATGTTTCCAGAAGAGTTTACTCACCATCAACTTGTAGTTCTTGTTCCACAATGACTCTCAACCTCTCTTCGATTCCACAATCAAATGTGGAGTTCTTTTCA